GGCCAGAAACGAAGGCGAGCAACAACTCTAGTCCAGCGACGAGGAACGTGGCGGGTCATCCCCTATCTACCGGAGGGAAGGTCAAAACAGACCCGCGGGGCAGGTCCGCAGTGCTCCAACTTTCTCTACCGACAAAGTTGACCCTGAGGTGGCTCCCTTAACTTGTTGAATAGGCTACTATTCGGGCCGAAAGCACCTAGGTTGGAAGCTGCTGGCTGTCGCCTCTAGATGGGCAAGCATAGGATAAGGTCCTAGGCGAGCAGGGGGTGCCGGACAGCAGGTGGGCGTGGGCGGCGTGGGCCATGCTTCCCCGGACCCGCCCACGCAGAGAAGTCCCTCCTCCTGCACTATGCTAGAGCACCCCGCCAGCCAGGACACCCGCAGCATGCAGCAGCAGGAGCCAGCGGCTGAGCCACACATAGGCTGAGCCCTGGAGGCCGGTGGTCCCACTGGGTCCCACGGTCGCGGCCTGCGGGGCCTGCGCCGCGCCGCTGCTTCCAAATGCCGGCCACGTCCGCCACCCCCACCTCCCACCCCCACGAAGCCCAACGCCCTGTCCCTGCCCCACCCTCACCGCCCATACTTCCGCCCCCCGCCCATCGCAGCCGCTGTGGACCATGAGGGGGTACAAAAAAAACTCACCAAGAGTATAGAATTTCTTAATTAAATATGCTAGGAAGACATAAGTTAGAATATCTTAATAATTAGTCATATCTAGCTGACAGCCAGCACTGACTAAGAGATGCACATTTTACAACCCCAACATGATTTCCCAAGGTTCAAGGAAGAGGCGATACAGTCGAGCATTTAATAATGCAAACTTTTGTCTCGACACAAAAATTACAATACACCAAGGCTGCATCAGCTTAAGCGGGAAGCAGTCGGGAAGCAGGCAGCAAACAGCAGACAGCAGATAGTAAATACCGGCGGTTTTACCAATTTTCATCAATATTTCAGGATGAAATCTTTTGTTGGTCTCTCATATTCATTTTCCGAACTTTAAAATTTTAAATATGTGCTCAAATCATGTCAAATCGGGAGGTGCTGTCGGAGCTGTCGGAACAGCACGACAGCACAACAGCGAACAGTATCTCCCGATTTACACCCGATTTGTATACATATTTATACTTTTTAAGTTCAGAAAATAATATTTGAATGATGAAAATAAGATTTCATAACGAAATTGGACGTTTAGATTTGAAAGTATCGGTATTTACTATCTGCTGTCTGCTGTTTGCTGTCTGCTTCCCGACTGCTTCCCGCTTAAGCTGATGCAGCCATACACTGCCACAACCCACACATCAAAATGTTCCACAAGACTGACACCTGACAATTTTAATGTAAAATATTTTACCATTTTCAAAAGTTGTCAGGTCAAACTGGAAATCTTTGAAAGACTGACGAAAACTTGTTGGTGCACAGCTCAATCTTTGAAATGATAGTGAGTTAGAAAGGTAATAAAAGTAGAGAAGGTCTTAATAAAGAATGGGAGAGAGGAACCTTGAGGAAAGTATAGAACAATTACACACAAGTTATAGATTTATAAACCTCATCAATGTCTGCGGAACTTCATCAATGACTTGGTGATAATAGTTTGAAGCAAAATTGTTCCTTTAGTATTTTTGTCAACATAAAAATAAATAACTCCAAATTAATTCAAAATAACTTGAAGGAGAGACAAAACAAGCTGACTTCTATTGACAAACATAACCTTATTGGGTATTATCAATTTTAGTTCATAGATATGACACTGTATGACAGTGAATGACACATGACAAAATTTAAGTGCAGCGAAATACTTGTTACATTAATACACCGACCACTATCAAATAGGATGGAATAATAGTAGGTCACCATAACCTATAAAAGTACCACAACTAGTTAACATTCAGGCATAGACATAGTTCTAGATTATATTTAAGTGCTACGGCTTATTCACAATACACATTTCAATTACTAGGACGTAAACTAGAACAAAAACAGAAGTAATAATGGAAGAAGCGGTTAGTCGACATACCATAGGAGATCACGAAGGACGGTCAGCCTAATTTCTTAGGGTTTGAACAATCTTGAAACTGAACACGCCCGAAAATAAGCACAAATATTCTTCTGATGATGTTGAGAGACGACCACTACACACAGTAGTTAATTACGATTCATCTAATTACGGCTCGCCATTGTTTGGGTTCCGTTCAAGGGATACATTCCTTCACGAGCCATGAGAATTATCGCTCTGTCTCTCTCACACCTGAATGCGAAGCTGGCTCTCCTCCTTCATCTCATATGTCATCGACCTCTTCTTCAACTCTCAAATCTAAAATTTGATCCCCAGATGGAAAATAACATAGGTTTTGGATGTGTAAATGGGGAAATAATGCCAATGTTGAAATTGTTGTTGTTTGGTGTTTTTGTGTTCAACTCGGCCTTACTTTCAAAAATCCCAGTCTTTTCATCTATACAAGGCTCGCGAGGGCGCGCAGTTCAAAACGCTGCGGGCTTGTGGTCATCTTTCGCTTCGTTTTCTTTTTTACGGCACAGGGGTCATTCTCATATAGTAATGATGGGGGGAAAACGGGTATAGGAAATAAAGCACAAGAGCGATTTTCATTCTAAAAAATAATATGTATTACTGTAATACTTGACGTACAATGCAAACTATAGTTGTCTAAGTGTGGTGAAACAAAGTCTGCTCAGCTTTGGGTGGACATGACTAGACCCGACTTACAATCTAATAACAAAAGTACCACATAATATGAACTATAATTTCATTATGTAATAGTATAAAATAAATTAACTAACATAAAGATGTGCAAATTAACCAATCTGACTTCCAAACAAGATTATTATTATGAAAAGACAACTAAATAGCATAAGCTTTTTTATTTAAAAAAAAAAATTGGTAAGAATTTGAGGCCAAAATGAGTGGTTAAAATGACATCATTTCCAGTGGTGCAACATGCATTAACCTGGGAAAATGTCACTTTCACCTCTCATTTTGTGCAACTGGTTTGGAGCATTTCTTGGAAATCTTCTTCAATGTTACGTCGAAAATGTATCATAATTGAGTTTAAAAAGTTTAGGAAGGAATCAATCACATTTTTAAAACACTTATGTAAGGTATGAAAATTAAAAGTTGAAAGTAGAAAAGGAATGTTCCTACAAACAAGAAAAACACAAACTAAAATGCCTTGATTTTGGAAAGATGAGCAAACTAACTCACTGAGCATGCATGTAAAACAAACATATTTTATGTTCAATGTTTGCTCTCTCTCTACTTTCCAGATACTTAATCATACAAATGAAAAAATACATCTTAAATAATTGATGTGAAACCTTTCTCATTGATGATTCTACAACAGTAGATTTCCTTTGACAACAGGGAAGAAAATCATGTGAGCTGGCAATCAAATGATTTAAGTAAACTTGAGCAATACACAAAACAGTCATCATTGTCATTAAACTCATAACTCCTATTCATACATCGTACATTTAATTCATCTAAGAGGATAAAAACACAATGTTATAGTTTCAGAACACTCCCTAACTAAGGTGAAATGCAGTCTTTCATTTCAGTATACTATGTGATAAGAGTCTAACATTAACATCAAACAGAAAACAACAACATGCACATTACTCTAAATGATGAGAGTAATGTTGCTTTTCATTTATGGCAGTGAGAATAGTAAAATTTCTACTAAAGTGATAAATAGTCAGATGGTAACAACATTTTATACACTGTACAGCACTCTTGTATGAAACTCTCTCAAAATTTTAGATTGGTAATAAAAATGCTAATGTAGTAACATGCCTTGTAAGTGTTAATTACCTACAGCCAACATTTTTGTTACTGAAGTATGCATAAACAACAACGTCCTAACTGGAGCTTAATTAATCTATTCCCACAGTATGAATCTGGATGATATGTACGTAGGAAGAGACAAATGTGAGAACATTTTAGATTTTAGCAGTGATTTTAGTTTTACATGAGCAAGTTGTAAATGGCAGGTTCTGTACAATTTAGATAGGAATAGTTTTAGTTGGCACATGAATCAATTGGACAATAAATCAACCATTAGATCTACAGGGTGACATATTGGGCGCCATTCTTTCTCCTGGTTCTACTGTATCGGATGCAGGCGTGTAGGTGGGCTTGCCTATCGTCGCTCACCGAAGCGCCTTACCTTGCCGCGTGCGAGTATGCAACCCACGCCTGAATCCGATACAGTACAAGCAGAAGAGAGAACGGCGCCGATGAGCCACCCTGTATTTTGAAGTTGCCTGATGCTGGATCTAAGATACGAAAATAGAAAGAATAGTGGATCTCACAGTTCGCCTTCACATAATTGCTTATTTTTTTATTTTGAATAAGAATTTGGACTACTTATAGATTTTAAATCAAGGCACACTTATGCTGGGCGGGCTTAGTACCACAGCTCCGAATATGGATGCTTCATGAATATTTTCACGTACAGAATTATCTAACTAACACATATTTATGTACACAAAAAGAAACACTCCTTGACTAGCAAAGAACATTTTCCATCACCCCATAGTTTGTCTGTAATGATTATAAAATCACAATTAAAACTTACTACATTAATGATTAACATGGAGGAAGACATACTGACGGCAGTGAAAAACATAACTGTAGAGAATTATTCAAATTGTTTGAGTCACAAGAAGATACTGTGAAAGGGAAGACGAACGTTAGAAGTGAGTTTGACTCACCAAAATACACTGGGTGCAGTACATCAAAAGAACAAATGCAAATTTAAAACAAAAAAACTTTGGAAGAATGCATATATAAATGCATTTACATTTTTAATCAGAAATAGCCTTTATGATAGAATTAAACAGCTCTTCCTCGCAGCTAAGATGCAAACTCCAGCAAAGGAGGATTTTTTTTTATCTACCTTAATAAGTGAACCAACTTTAGAATTACATAAACAAGAGTGACTTTTTCTGTTGGAAGAACGACTAGATTAGCTAAAATGTAAATTAAGTCAGTACACAACAACAGATTAATTAGCCTAGTACCTAACACCACCATATAACATTTAACTAGATTATTGGATAGAACTATTTATAAATAAAAGGTAAAATTATGTGATGAGATAACAGTGCATACTACACAGGAGAGAAGGTAAACACGAATTGTTAAAGTTAATGGTAACAAGAGAAAGTTTTCTTAAAGCTGTCTTCTGAACAAAGTTCTAGGTCCAACAAATGTTAATTAGGTATCACCATCAAAGTAGATCCTAAAATTTCAAATTGCAAACCTTCACTCTGGTCACTGGATTTGTATGATTGGTCATTGCCTGACAATGGAGGTGGCGATGAGATAAATACAACGCATCTGTTTAAGGTAAACAAAACCAGACTAATGTCTCTTATACATAAGAAAACAGTCTTTCACAATATAGTTGAAGATATTGACCAATAAACTGATTTGATCAAAATTTTAAACACTACCTTTGCTTTTTGTAGTAAACACCAACAATAGAATAATGGTCACTGATTGTTGATGACAGTACAGTGATTTCTTATCTAACTTGCCACACCTCGGTACAGAGCTTGGCAGAAAGTAAATAAGAGTCAATGAAATAGCGAATAAGGCAGATAGAACATAAGATATAAAAGTAGATATTGATTGTGAGTATGATTCATTATAAGTCTCTATAAACAAAAGAACATAAAATTTGATTAAACATAAGAAAATTTATAATCCTTCATCAGGCTCATTTTAGCATCAGGCATAAGTTCTCACACTTACCAATAAGAACATAGCAACATAAGTCACAATATCTTGACAACAAAGTTTTAAAATAATACATCTGACTGAGGTACACATGTAGTATAAATACTGCTGTAATACAGATACACAGTAACTGGGTTATTTTATTAAGATTCTCATATTTAAGATTTCTCATAGAGAGGACGTTACTTTAAAATAAAACCACACACAATCTACCTTAGCTATGATTTTTTATCAAAAAGAGGGAGTTTAGATTTTACAGCACCTTCACAAACTATCAGTCTTTGGCCTTCACATCGCTTAGCTAAATGTGGTCTTAATAAGGGTATAGTTGGAGGGCTTACAGCCAAAGTATTCTTGCTACTACCTGCTGAAGCCATTGATTTGCGGAGGAAGGCAAAGTCAGTTGACCGCAATGCATCAGAAAATATTTGTGAATTTTCATATGGATTCACTGAGAACCGCCGAGTTGTTGTTGAAATCTGCACATATTAAAAGTGTGTTACAGAGACAATATAAATGAAAGGAAAAAATGCATTCAGAAAGAACAATAAACACTACCTGTGGTTGCAGTTTTGCTGATGGTCGTCTGGATGGACCTGGACCAGCTGTTGAAGTACTGTTTTGTTTCCTCTCAAAATATTCCACAATTTTGCTTATTTGCTGAGGAGCCTTTAAAATGAAAAATTTTAAATTAAATTTAGAGTCAATAGAGGTATGAAATAGATAAAATATTCAGGACAGAGTTATCAGTAATAACATACAGGGTTTGTGGAGAATCCTCTTTCTTCCCAATAGGCTGGATCACCACCTAAACTTGATACATCCTCTGAGCTATCAGTATATATTGATGATGACCTCTTTGCCGAAAAAAGTAATGAATGATGCCTTGAGCTTAAACCACAGCCCACTGAACCTGGATAAGACAATAAGGAAATCAGTAATCTGCAGACTACCATAATGAAAACATCAAATTAAAAGGAATCAAGAATCATACCATTAGGTGCCAAATCATCAAGATCAGCCAATTCCCCTGAAGAAACTGTGGTAGTTGATACCGCTGAATCGTCTAGCAAGAACAAAGATGAAGCTGCTGATGAGGAGCACAGTGTGTGCCGAGCGGGTCCAGAACAGAAATCCGAAGGTGACAGAGGATCACAGCCTGCATGAAAGTAAATTAACAAAAATTTACATAACTGCCTCCCTGTAAGATAATATAATCTCATTGTCTTTACTGTACCTGGTAAGCCATAGTCTTCCCCAAGGCAACTAAAGAAACCAGACTCGCAAGACCCTCTACGTCGCAATGCAACTGATGGGAAACCTCCTAGGACAGAACCTGTAGCACTGTCATCTTCCGAAAGCAAGAGGCTGTTAAGATTAGAGGATGAGGAAGAGAGTCGACGCTGCAGAGGGAGTGCACCTGAATTAAGCAGCTGTTTGATTTCAGGCTTGCTGTCTAACACAGAAATGTTTGTAGAAAACACATTGTCCTCTTCTCCAGATGATTTGGGACAACAAAATTCTTTTGACTTATTTTGAGTTTCCAGTAGCCTTTGAGTCAACACCTTAGGATTAATGGCAGTAGATGCCATGACTGGCCTGCGACGAACAAATGTTGGGGAAGAGGGTAAAGACAGGTACTGAGGATGACTATGGCGCCATGACTTTTTCTGAACTGACAGGACGTCTGTCCCACACTCTTCACTAACAGAACCCAACCGGCCGTCTGAGGGAACCAGGGGCCTGGGCTGCAGAGACTCCTCTGGCTGCACCCTGCTGGGCACTGGAGTTTGAACACTATCACACATCGTTGACTTGACGTCACCATTAGACACATCACTCATTTGAGCGTCCATCTTAAGGTAATCGTCCGACGGTTTGTTTATTGGTGAAAAGATGTTGCTCTGAATGAAGACGTCATCCTTCCTGGCCTGGGCGGGCTCTCCACTGCCGGCCCCGCTAGACGCCCCGCTGGACGCAGCCGCCACACTGGAGCTGGCAGCTTCATTCGCAGCCCTGTCCGAGGCCCCGGCCGGGCCACACTCTGTCCGTTTGCCCGGCTGGACGCCGTTGGACTCGGCCTCCACCTCGCTCTTGAGCCGCCAGCGCCCGCCCACTTTGCACCACAAGTCGACGCCCGTGTTGACCACCACCGGGAAGGGGAACACACTCTCTTGGGAGGACGACTGCTTGGTGGTGCCCAGGAGGTCCGCGACGGGCACGGTGAACGGCGGCCCAGCCGGTCCCAACGACAGCTTCCTGGGCGCCTTCCTGTCGAGCAAGTGCGCCCGAGCGCTGGACGTGACGAGGCTCTCCTGGGACCCGCCGCGGGGCACCGCGGCGCCGAAGTTGAGGGCGTAGCTTTCGAGCGCGGGCGATCCGGGGGGAGCGGGCGTCGGGCAGAAGAAGGGCGAGGGCAGCTCGAAGCACGACGAGAACAGGTCCCCGCTGCAGGTCCCCAGGCCGCCGTCGAGGTCCCCGGGGTCCCCGCCACCGGCGCCGACCCCGGCAGCCGCGCCAGCCTTGTCGCCGAGGATCTTCTTGACGCCGCGGAACTGCGACAGCGCCGCGAACGGGTTGAGCGCGCCCTTCTCGCTGGGCTGGTAGTGCGGGTCCTCGCGGCACATGCTCTCGCCCACGTGCTTGGCCGTGATGCCGCGCGAGTGGCCGTGCGCGCCGGTGAAGTGGCAGCGCGCCTTCTCGCTGGGCGACGTGTGCGCGGGGAACGCCACGATCAGGCCCACGTCCTCCGACAGCGACCGGCGGTGGCTCACTGCAACCGAAGCACCAACTCAGTCAAAACAAAGCTTAAGATAAAAACAGTACAGATCGTCAGGTTTTCAGGCCCCCGCACACTTACGCTTCTTGTGACGGTTGACGCTCTTGTCGTCCGGCGTGGTCGGGATCACCTCGACGGACCGGGCAGCCAGCGAGGAGGCGGTCAGGTTGGCCAGACACGCCTCCGAGATGGCCCCCTTGCTCTTGGCCTTGCCCGCCGACGCCATGCCCGCGCCCGACGCCTCGAGCGTCGCGCCCGAAGAGCTTCCCCCCGCGCGCTCCCGCTGCTCCACGGGGTACTCGGCGTACTCGGCCGGGTACTCCGGGGAGCTCTTGCCGCGCAGCATCGCCTCCAGCTTGCGCACGATCTCGGAGAAGGACGGCCGGCTCTTGGGCTCGAACTGTAAAGAGCAAAGACACCAAATCAGTCATAGCGCGCACGTCCCGCGACCCGACGACGAGCTCGGATGGAAGTGGTTTTGCGGTCAACGCGAAAAAGATGACGGCGAACGATGGGAATTAGTGGACGGCGAGTCGCAGAGAACGACGAGAAAGTAGCGAATGAATAAAGTACGAGTCGGGTCAGCTGGTGGCTCCTCACCGTGCAGCAGTGGAAGGCGAGCTTGAGGAAGTAGGGCGGGCAGGCGGCTGGACAGAGCTTCGTGAAGGCCAGGTAGTCCAGGCCGAAGTTCTGCGTTCTGGGCAGCACGTCGGGGTCCGCCTCGACGCGCGCGATCAGCTCGCAGAGCACGATGCCGTACGAGAACACGTCCGACTTCTCGTTGTACCACTGGCCCTTGAGGCACTCGGGCGACATCCAGTAGGGCGAGCCCACCGTGGGCAGCCGGTAACCGCACCTGGGGGAACACACAAAGTAAAGATGAAAATTTCGATGGAACAAAAGCCGGACCCGTATATCAGCACCCAAACCCACACATCCGAGCTTATGCATTTATCGCCAAGTTCTCCGCTGCGCCACCTTTCCCCCCGTGGCTCGGGTGTATGCACAGCGATAGCGAGCCAAACGTCCCGCCCCGCCCACCCCGCGCCACCCCGAGCAGCAGGGGCGGGGCGCGCGCCAAAGGCTTATTGGCAAAGAGAACAATGGCTCCACTCAGGAGAGCAAACAACACATACTCATGCACTCAAAACCGACCCCCCTCCCCTCCCCGCGCCTCCCCTCCCCACACACAAACACAGGCACGCAGGCCACTTACAATGGGTCAGGAATTTTGGCCGCCAGTCCAAAGTCGGCGACGACGGCGGTCAGTTCGCCCGTCTCCTCGTTGCGCCGGATTAACACATTCTGCCAAATCAGAGAGACACACATACACATTACAACGTTATGTCATGATGAGATAAGGGTGTCCGAGGAAAGGGGCGCGATGGTGGGTCTTTTGCCAAGTAAACGACGGCTCACAACGAGCATGCAGGTCACCCATCGGGCAGTGCAAGAGCCGAGGAGTACTTCACCATAAATTCAAGCGCACACCTATTTTTCTGATTTTTTTCCGTCTTTTTAAATGTTTTTATCTGATTTTTGGGGGTGGTGGTGTACCCTGTATTACCCGAACGAAGAAGTGAACGCCCCGAAAAAAGTAAGACCCCTACGCACCTTGGACGTGAGGTCCCGGTGAAAGACGCCCCGCGAGTGCAGGTACTCCATGCCGCGGGCGATGTCCAGCGACAGCTTCATGCGCACGGCGTACGGCAGGTCCGTGCCGCGCGCCTGGACCAGCTGCTCCAGGCTGCCGCCGTTCAGGTACTGGAAAACAATCAACAACGCGTCAGCAAACACGACAAAAAAAACACAACCACTCCGTCTAGATTTACATTCGATAAAATTTCGGAGGAACTCCCTCCCGGCTCCACAACGTCGCGCGTATCGTTGTCGCCGTCGACCTTGATACTCGTCTCGGTTCCCTCCCATCTAATGACGGCCTGCCGTCCGAAAGTCCCTCCCGGCCGGGCCTGCTGGGCCGGGCCGCCGGCGGCAACGACGACGAGGAGGGCACCAGGCGTGGGAGGCCACACCAAACGTTCGCCGACTTTTTTTTTTTTTTTTTTTTTTTCTCCCCGTAAAATACAAAAAACCTGCGGGAATGGGCTCGGCCGG